CTGTCTCTAAGCTCCCTTCCAACTCTATGATTCTACAACTGGATGGAAAATAAGCAGAGAATTATTTTGTCAATGAGTCAGTTCATATAACTTGCTTAGACATGTTACAGGATTATAACAATATAACAGTTTTTTTAACAAAGTGTAGGTATAGGCATATTTTAAATTAAAAAATGAGGTAACGGTAAATGAGGAATATGCTATTGTATACTTTCCCTGATTGTATCTGCTACCACATCCATTAGTGGGCCCAACTACCAAATTATGGAGGATTCTGAGACTGAGAAGAACAAACCAGGCATCCTCCTTAGAATAATATGATGAATTATCTATAGATAGAATCACCAAGGTTGTTTAGCTGTGCCAGCTCACAGGTACTGCCACAGCAATACCGTATGGACCAATGCACTGCCAATTAATTGCTAAACTGTATTTTGGCCTTACACTTGTCATGCAAATGAACCCAACGAATGTATTATATTGTAAAAATCTGCTAGACATAACTTAATGGGAATTATTTGTCTACCTGCATGTCATATCACTGACATTTAGGTTTCAGTGTTAAATGAGTTCCAAAATAGAGCTAATTCACTCTGTCACATACTCTAATTTTATGAAATAGTGGATAGATTGTAATTACGATCACCCGTCCCTCTTATTTTTAATGTAGCTTAAGTAAGGAAAAATGGAATCAAATTGTATTGATAAAGCATTCATCATTCTCCAAGCAAATGTTAGACAAAATCCAGAAATCCTGTAACTATTCCAGGTGTTGATTTAAAACAGTTTCATTGACAGCAAATAATTAATCACAGTGGTAATCTTCAGTTACCTTTTGAAGCATTTCAAAGTTCAGGTATACAACTCTTGTGGGAAGCCACCCAAACCTTGCATGATTATTGGTGCTCTCCCCATTATAGTTTGCACAGCAGGAAGATAAGAGACAAAAAGCTGAGCGAGTACAACAGCAGCAGAAGCACGAAATGCAGATGAAGGAGATGTTGGTTCAGTGTGAGAGCAACATGAATGAACTCCAGCAGTTACAGGTAATTTAATATCAATGGTTCAGTTTTATTTATGCTTATGTTTGTCTTCAGAAGTACAGGACATTTGACATCTTTGAGCTACCTGTTACCGTTTTCTGAAAGATTTGTTAATACTGGTCAAAGTCAGTTCTTAAAACAGAAGAGAGAAATAACATCAGGGATTTTTTTTTTTAATGTTGGCATGTAATTATATTTATATCTGAAGTTTACCCAAGGGGTTAAATACGGATAAATAAATGTGCTTTCATTTCATTCATTTAAATCCTAACATAACCCTGTGAGTTATGCTAGTTTTGAAAGAGAGTGGTTTTTCTCAAAGCCACCCAGTAAGCTCCACGGATTACCATAGATCTCAGGTTTTAATGTTCTAGAGCACAATATACTAACCATGCAATATTTGCTAGCTCCAAGTTATGGAAGCCCATTGAATCTGCGAAATTAGGTGGAATGAGACTTCTTTCTTCTTAATATCAGAAATATATTAGAAAGATAACTTCATATTATTTGTTGCTGGTCATTGCAATCTCAAATTAGTTGGTAGGCCTAGTGCTGTTTCTTCCTTGCAAAGTATCTTATATATATATATTTTTCTCTCTCTCTCTTGCTTGTTTCAATCTATGTAGAATGAAAAGTGCCACCTTCTGGTTGAACATGAAACTCAAAAACTGAAAGCTCTGGATGAAAACCACAACCTGACCCTCAAGGATTGGCGAGATAAACTTAGGCCAAGAAAAAAGGTGTTTAAAAATTTGCACTCATTGTCAGAATTAAATTGCGAAATTCCGAATTTCAAACCCGTTGGTCAAAATAAGGGTAAAAAATTGTTAATTTCCACAAGACCTGCAATTTAGAGGAAAACAAATAGGGAGGACTTGGAATGTTTGTGAGCAGGTTTGCATTGTATACTCTGTTTTGTTATCCTTATCCTAATGTCCTATTTATTTCAACCTGCAGCTGCTTGTAAGCTGGCAGGAAGCCAGAGAGAAGCCAAGGTTGTTATTAGTGAAAACTTTATCTTTTCACCTCTTTTGTCTTTGTGTTTCAGGCACTGGAAGATGAACTCAATCAGAAAAAGCGAGAACAAGAGATGTTTTTCAAACTCAGTGAAGAAACTGATGATCTGTCTCCTATGTCACCAAACAAGCCTGCTAAATTTGTGCCATTCAGCTCTGCAGAGGCTTCATAATACTTGGGTTAAGAAAGCAAGGCTTGGTAATACTTGCTTTTGCCTGTTGAAGGGAAATCAATAGACAGAGCTCCTTCCTCTCTCTGCCTACTGTGATCAGAGTTTCCTGTTCAGTTGTGTGCCGGATAGTCAGTGTGGCTAGCAATCTGATCCACTAGTGGTGAGGCAAGTTCACATATAGGTTAGAAGCAAGCTATAGCAAGCTTCAAAGGGACCAGCTGATGGGGTCAACTGCAGAATCTACATTGCTTGCTGAATCCTTCCCCAGCCAGTTTCACCATTTCCTAATGGGATAGTAGAAAAGGTATAAGACAGGGATCTTCAAACTTGGCAAGTTTAAGACTTGTGGACTTCAACTCCCAGAATTCCTCCTCCAATCATGTTAGCTCAGGAATTCTGGGAGTTGAAGCCCACAAGTCTTAAACTTGCCAAGTTTGAAGACCCTTGGTCTAAGAGGAGATTCATTACAGTATTGGTTTAATTTTCCAAGTTAGCTTTCCTGTGTATCTGAGCTTAATGAGTAGGTGGTTTTACTCAACAGTATATCTTTGAGACTCAATAGTAGATGTTGTTTACTTTTGATAGCCTTTAAGATGACAGTAAACCATCACCTCTGTTTAATGTTGTCCCTACTCTTGTAAATTAAGCAAAAGACTGATTTTTGTTCTGTGCTTCCCTTTTGGAATTAATCTGTCTCTCAGCATCTTCCAAACAACTTATGACATAATTGGGTTTTTTTTCTTCGCTATAGAATAGCCTGAAATTTAGAAGCAAAGCAGTCTTAAAACAAACAGGGTAGCCAGAGGAATGCATTTCTATCATAGTGAAGGTTGAGTAGAGACTGTGGATAATGCTTCCAACCTGGACTATGTTTAAATAAACAGACCTGCCCAAGCTAAATGGTTCTAAATGTACAGTAAGGAAGCATGATCTTTCTCTGCTTTGTCAATCATCTGTGATCCCTGTAGCTTCTCTTTTCAGATGCAGCAATCTACTTTTGGTTTACCTGTGTGCTAGTGAACTAGAATTCTGTGGTTCCTTTTCTTTCCACAGTCAAGGATGAAGCTTCTGCTGAAGTTATGGAAAGAGTTAATGTTTACTCTTTAGGTAAATTAGAGAAGAGCAACCCCAGATGTCCATGGCAACAAAGGGGTAGCTGGACTAAGGTTGAAGGCACTTCACTTTGTATCAAATTGTATATGATTTTCAAGTTTTCATAGAGTAGCAAATGCTAGCTTAGGGACTTTCTCGTGCTAAATGATTGGGTGCGCTCAGAATTGAAGACACAGTTTTGAAATAAAGCGATGCTAGATGGCTATGAGTAATTCCAGCCTTTGCAGTTTCTCTGAATCAGTAGAAAGGGCCACCTAAGAGAAGCCACAGATTATAGAATATATTATATATATTTATAATGCTATAGCAGTTCGGTATTTCAAACTTTTACAAATGCTATTTTTGACCAAAGAGGTCTCTTTTCATTCCCTCCCACCGGTTTTGTTTTATTTAATATAAATTTCCAAAGGTTTGGGAAGTATGCATTTCCCTATGAATTATATTTAAATTGTTGTTTTCTCATTGATGAAATATAATTCACACAGATTTCAATTTGAGCAACCAGCTATACGTGATAAATGTGCATTGTTTGGTACTCGTTTAGCTATAAGTCCAAACAGAAAACTGATACAATCCATTTTCACCATCTCAGAACAATACGCCTTTATAGAGAGAACATGGTCCAGTATTTCTTTTGATGTCCAGTATAGCGTTGTTCTAAGCATAGCTCGTTGCCCTCTTGGTAGGAAAAATGGTTCTGTTTTTTTATGCACTGTTCTTTGAAGCACTGTTGCTAATGACCTGATTTCTGTGCTGACAGCTAATTTGTTGGAATGTCAATTGAAGTTTAGTAAACTAGTAGTGGCTGACAGAGTTGGTCACAATGTGTCAGGCATTATATTAAAGGTGGCAGGGTGAAAATACAATCTGAAAGAAATGCCTGCCGAAAGGATACTGGATATTAGAAGTTTTTAGGAAGTGTGTGTTCACAAAGCACTTTAATCCCTCTTCAAACTGTTTTAGATCTTTGAGTGTTAAGATAATGTGTGAGGAGAGAGAGAGACGAAAGGGAACAAATCCTTCACATGAATGTTGTAAGTAAAAGCAAATTTAAATGAACAGTGTTAGCTTCGTGTTGAAAATGATGGATGCTTTATAATCATTGTGTCTTGGGTGCATTGATTTGTATGCACATTCCTGCTTTTTCCTCTCTTGGCCAAGAAGGTAAACAATGGCACACACTCACAATTGCTTTTTCTCTCTTCCCTTCCCTTGCCAAACTGATCCTGGCTGTTCCCAAAGGGGCTAGAACTTCCCTCTGTGCAATATGTACTTTCTAGTTTTTTCAGAAAAGTTGTTGAAATAAAGTATCTTTTCCCTTCTTTAAACACCTGTTAGCTTGGGGGGGGGGGGGGGGGGAATATTTTGGTTTCATCAGGGAAGAAAGAAGGTATTTTGTATTTTTATAGGGGTAAGGGTTTTTTTGGGGGAAAAAAAACAACTCAAGGATGTTCTCTTTTTGGATTACCACAATGATGTAATCTATTAAAATACGAACCACAAAGCCTTTGCATAGCGATCCAGAATTGCATTCCTGCTGTGTGTCTCTTTAGGTCAGCAGTGCTGAGCTGTATTTATACATGATCTTGTCTTGGCTACAGTGGAATTGTGTTTCAGAATTCTGTTGATTGGCATTTAAAAAAAAAAAACTCAAGTCCACAGCTTGCTGGCCCTGCACAAAAGTGTTTTTAAAATATAGATTGTCTTACTTGAAAGTATCTGTACTGTATTGGAATGTGTTAATATTAAACTATTAATTCTTGAAGCAAACTGTGATTAGTCTGAACTATGTACAACACTCCATCACTGATTATTTTTAAAAAGGTTGACGTTGATAGCAAGGAAAATCTGCACCTTTCATAGATTCTTAGTGTATTTTGATATGAACTATTATACTGTATGATAGGCTGGTATTTAATTTCATTTTCTGACATTATACTTTCAGGTACATGAAACCTGGCTTTAGTTGAGTACCAGAAACATTTCTGCCTTACATACTATATCTTGAAGTCTTAGTTAGAAGGGCCTTTGTCGCCATCTAGTAATTTACTGATTTTTATTATGAGATGGAGATTTTTGTTAATTGACCAGAGAAGCCATTTTCCTGTATATTTTTAGCAGTTCCCATGAAGTATTAGGGCAGCTGAGAACAGAAAGCACACAAATTTATGTTCGGGATTTTGAACCACTTATAATATCTTTTACAGTATCTGTTACCATGCAATACTAGCTGATAATTTAAAGCCTCTAGGCGGTAATGCTAGTTCTTGATTTTTGAATCCCAATCTCATCTACTCTAGAGGGGAGAGTTGTTGGAAGAATAAACAACAGCTAAAAAGAAGAAAAGAACAAAAAAAAACCTCCACAACTACTGGAGAACTCTTCCTACCCTGAGAAGCAGTCTCCTAACAAGGCATCATTGCAAATGCCTTCGTTCTAGTGAGCTGCAATACATTTGCTGTGTAAGCTAAGGATCTAGGACAACACACCACTGCAACTTCACCCCGGGCCGCCTAGCTCTGGCTGCCTTGCCATGAGGTAACTCATGGCAGGAGAATGCCAGAAGCAAGGGAAACTTCCTCCCCCTGTAGCTCAGAGTTGGTGGGGGGAGGACAAAATGGGGAGGGGAAGAGGGAGAGAATCACATATTTTTCTGTGCACAGGATGTCAGCATTCCAAGAGTTTCTACCTCAGAGTTCTAGGGGTATTTTGGCGGGTGGGAGATAAGCCAGATCAAGGAGGAAGAGGGGGAGACGGAAGAGGAGGAGGAGGTTGCCTTAGCCTCTACATTCACAGGACAACCAGCCAAGTCCATCAACCTGGCTGCAGTGAGTTGTTCCATTCCATATTATTTATACCATTCCATATTATTCATTTGTTAGACAACCAGAGGCAGGGAGATACACAATTCCTTAGAAATGGGAATGCTATTGCAAACTTTTTGCAAATTATTTTTTTAGGAAAGAAGATGCTACTACTTTGTTTCCTAATCAATAATTCTACCATCAATAGATGATTGTATCTATGTTTCTGAAATTGCTATACTATTTATTTTGCCTTGTCTGAATTCTGGCTCCCCCACCTGCACTCACCCTTCCTCACAGTCACATGAGAACTGGGGCTGGAGTTAAGGTTGAGGCTATTTTTCCTTAGCTACTGGAAGGCTCTAGTGGTCATCCTGGGCCATCTGGGTGGTTGCTGAGGGGAGTGGTAAATGCTTTGCTTTAACTTTCTTCTGAACTTTTAGTATCTGGGCTGTCAAGATGCTAGTCCCCGGACCTACTTAAAAGAGGTTACCTTTGACTTACGCTGGTTTCCAAGTGTCTGATCCACTGGTAATTTGCTGGTCCACACTGGATCTGTAGCCCTTGATTTATTCAGCTTCTCTTTAAGCTCACCTCAGCCACTGCCCCATATCTGCCTATTCTGCCTATTCCATTGTCTTCAGTGCCATTCAGCATCACTGCTTAGCCTTTACTGCTACAACCAGCATTCTTCAGCTTTCTCTACGGTCCTTCCTTCCTTTGCTCTGGTAATTTTGTTTTCTCTTATCTCCATCACCATCACCAGCACTAAAGCCAAATCTTTTTTAAAGGGTCAGCTTGAACAGTTCAGAAAAGTAAAGCCCTTAATAAATGAGGGACAAAAAGTGTAAGTCTTCCATTTGCTATGCATGCTCCACCATGGCTAATATTTGCATGTGTGTCTTCTATGTTTGATAGACCGTATGTAAACAAGTCACAGATTAAAATAACCACACTGATCTAATCTCCCTGTTGGTTTCTATAACCAGGACGATAGCAGTTGTCCATGATTTCCATGTAACTTTTGAAAGTGTGCTGTCCTTTTTCAAGCAATCCACTTCAGTGTTCACAATACCATGATGAACAAGCCTTATTTTGTGGGTCTCAGGCTGTGATTTTCATCTAATTCTATTTCCATTTGATACATTTCAAGGTTCCAGTTCCTTCCTTGAACTCTTCTGTTGCTTCTTTTGATACCTTGTAATATTTCCTTACCAGATTTCTTCCACAGCAAGTTGTTGAACATGAACAACAACAGTTCAAGGGTAGTACCTTCACCCATGCTTTTCTACTGAGCTGGATCTTAACTCTTAATGACATATAACTCTGGCTGACATTTGCTACTTTGATGTTTCTGTATCAACTTTTACCATTCCTGTAGATACTATCTTTTTTACTGTGTAGGTCTTCCAACAGAATCAGTAAATGTCTAGTTTACAAAATTT